ATACATGGTTAAATATTTATGGTTAATTAAATAAAATAAACAGGTTTTTGGTGTGACAGTGTACACATTTTATTTTAATCATTTTACATATACACATATATACAGTGTATATGAAAATTATTACTATTATATAAATATATATTATTTATTATATCTTATATTATTATGCTCTAGTTTTATTATCATCATTATTATTATTTGACCATTTAAAAAATCATAATGAAAATAAAAAGGAAAATAAAATTACTAATAAATAATACTAGTAATAATAATAATAATAATAATCACTTTTTTAAAGTACATATTCTATGATCTACATCACAGTCAGTATCATTTGTAAGGATGACACTTTCAATGTCAAGTTCTTGGATGAAAAATCACCCCCTACATTGAGAGAGCAAGGTGACCCCTCTTAATCATAGGGGCTGTTATCTAACAGGGTGTTCAGTCAATAATCCCAGGCCAGGACAGATAGCTTTGGTTCATCTGCTAGGGAACTGGAGGGACCTTACTAACACAAGCTTATTAAAACCCTTTGGAGAAACCAGCATTACAGGACAGTCCTGCTCCACATCAAGCAAAATATGTTATGAGAGAAAGAGAAAAAAGGGATGAGCATGGAAAAACCGTGTAGAAAGGTAGACAAAAAAGTAGACGGACGACACAACAGGGGATAGAGAGAGATGGACAAGGAGAGGATTATGCAGTGGGGGTCCATCATCTGTTCCCTAATGAGAAGGGCTAGTTCAGTAGTTGTCTAGGACTAGGTCATGTACTAAAGAGAGCGCAACACAGAATGAGACCTGCAGGGCAATTTGCACACATATAAGCATTATCAGGGTTGTTTTGAGAATTTAGGCCAACAAACATATAATAAAATATGAATTAAAAAATGGAATATTACACATTGTGAACAGCTTTCTTATCACTGTGAAAATCTCTCATATCATCACATTTTTGAGCGCCCTTTAATAGAGTTCCACAGATTGTATCTGAACACAGACACACAAAGCCTGTATTTGTGACCAGTCGCATGATCTGAACCACTTCAGACATAAAAAATACAACCAGAGGCAACAGCTAATTGGCTAATTATGAACATAAAACCTCTCAGTTTGAAATATTTGCTTAGTTAAACATATTTGCTTTGCTTTACTAGATAAAATAGGATAATTAGTGGACTAAATAGTATAATAAATGTCATTTTCTAGTACAGTATGTCTGTTTCAAAGCACTTAGTCCACCTGCTGTTTTCTATCAAGGCATATATGCCCGTTTTAACAGTTTAAGTAACATTTTCAACAAATTGAACATATAAGGATATGAGAAATTCCAAAACGGACGTCTGCATGTATAAATGCAGATAGTGTATTACTTTACAATTATGTATTTGCAGTAACGTACATGTGTCTACGTTTGAACAAGCTAAACATATTTATGGGCTCACGTGCAGTGTGTTTTGATAACAAACTCAACTCTTTTCAAAAGCGAAAAGGTGAACACGCTTCACAAATGGAGTCTAAGTAACTTTAAACAGTCGATATCCCTCTATTACACAAAGAACTGTTTAAACACCGAAGTTTAAACACATCATTATCTTACAGTATACTGTAACTGCAGCATCCCATTCAAACGCGCGCGGTCGAAACGCTCCAAAAAGTTTCGCACAAAACCACAAAAAAAAAACAGAACCGCATAGAGGGTTTGGGCGAAATTGTCTTACCTTGCCAAGCAATAGCGCACATTTGAAGAACAAACAGTAAAAGTGAAGTGTTTGGCATAGCCATGTTCCTGAAGTTATCCATCTGAATGAAGCGCACGAGAGGAGCACGGCTGTTTTGGCCAGGAGGAGCGCGAGAGAGGGAGGGAGATGGAGTCGAGTTGCACAAATGCTGCCTGTCTGTTCGCTATTGTACCGTCCTGCTGCGAGTGGGAGGACATTTGGGACATTCAATTAATGCTCTCCACCCTGCAAAATAAGGTTAAAATCATATTTTTTTGGTCGCTTATTATATCTTGATTTGTTTTACCCGCGCGTAAAAGAGTATAACACGACTTATTGTTCTGTTATGTTGTACTAATAACAACAAAGTGGCCTGCTAGGATGCTTTGGACATGTTACCATGTGAATACCACGTGTATGGACATGTACCTAAATAATATCATCATATTATTTGAAGTAATTTCGAGTTCAATGTAAATACCTATATGGATGTTACACTCTTAAAAACAAAGGTAGAAGAACCATTTTTTGATTCCCCAGAGAATTTTAAAAGAATTTATTTATCTTTATATCTTTTTCTTATAATGAAGAGCAGTTTAATAATCCAAATAACTATTTTCCACTACACTAAAAATAAAGGTGCTTCACGATGCCATAGAAGAACCTTTTTGTCTAAATGGTTCCATAAAGAACCTTTAACATCTGGAGAACCTTACTGTTTCACAAAAGGTTCTTTGTGGCGAAAGAAGGTTCTTCAGATTTTAAAAAGGTAAGAAAGAGATGGTTCTTTAAAGAACCTTTGGCTGAATGGTTCTTTGTGGAACCAAAAATGGTTCTTCTATGGCATCGCTTGAAGAACCTTTTGAAGCACCTTTATTTTTAAGAGTGTATAAGGAACTTTTTGTGGAATGGACCCATGGATGCCAACCAAGAACCTTAATTTTTAAGTGTGTTTTTGATATTTGGTATAAATTACCATCTGATACCATCACATAACATGGTACCACCACAGTATTTTTGTGCAGGTCTTTTGTAGGTCTTTATATAATTGATTATGTGATATTTGTGTTTGTCCTTGTTGATAATACACGAATAATACTGATTTCGAATATTTATAATCGCTGCAAATTCTGATGGATTGTAGCATTAAATATTGAAATATTAAATAAATCAGATGTCAGGTATGCCTATGTTTAACAATGAACAAAATAATTGTATGATTTAAATTATAATTTTCTGGCAAGTCAGTGGCCAGGAGTTTTTCCTGGGGCCAGATTTTAAAAAGACCTCTCTCCACAAGAGAGAGAAAAATGTTTCACATTGTTCTGGAAGGAGGTGTTGTTGATGGTTGTGTGTTGTTTTAGGACAGGGACTTCTTCCAACCCAATGTGTCAGCATGCAGGTTGTTAACAACCTCTACTGTTATCACCACTCCTCCATCACCTCAACTAACAGCTGCTGGAGGGAGGGGTGTGTGTGTGCGTGTGTAGAGAGAGAGAGGGGCAGTGGAGGTCTGTCACTCCAGCTGTCTCCCCAGCCTCTTGCCATCATTCCATGCTCCTTTACTCAAAACTGGGCCATAACAACACAACATTCATTCATGACTGCGCTCATAGTTCTTGAAGGTGATTAATGTAAACAGATTTGTCTTTTTTTCCACAATATAGGGGCTGAGGATGAGTATACAACATAAAAGGTGCAAAAATAAAGCAGTTTTTAAATAAGATCTCTAATAAAGGGATGGTTCATTTAAAAAAATAAAATAAAATTCTGTCATACCCTGATGCTGTTCAAAACCTGTATTACCTTTTTTCTTTAGTAAATCAAAAAGAAGATATTTTGCATAATGTTCAGGCTGCTTTTTTCATATGATCATATTGGGAAAAGGGCATTTAGAAAATAATACCATTATTGTGGTCTATATAAGTTTTTTGAAGTTATACGCATAACTTTGTGTAAGGAACCGACTGAAATTTAAAGGAATTTACTCACCTTCATGTTGTTCCAAACCTGACTTTTTCTTCTTTGAAAGACAAAAGAAATAATGTTTTATCTATTTAAGATATAAGAAATATACGCCTTTCATATCAAACCAAAATATTTATCAACACACACATACTCAAAACAGTTGAAGCATTCTTCTAGAATGTGTTCTACACAAGAAATACAATCATAAAGGTTTAGAATGACATGAGGGTGAATGAAGACAAAATATTTTTATTTTTGAGTAACCCACTGAAAATCTTCCCCTATTTACAAGAATATCATTTATCATATCATATTTTATCAGTGAATCTGATCAAGTGTTGTCTGTTTTTCACACAAAGCTACCAACTTTAGAAAACTTGGAATTTAGCGCACAAATCATATGGATACTTTTATAGTGGTTTGATGGTGCTTTTTGGAGCTTGAGACCTCCACATGAGGATGACAAAATGTTCAAGGTTGGGTGAAAAATCCCTTTAATAAAATCTGAAAATGGTACTTAAACTCATTCTGAGGAAAAGCGTAAACGTTCATGTAACTGAAAATTCGAAAGTCTCTCTATTCTAAAGTAAGAGAAAGTCTAAAACTCAGAGAGTGCACTTGAGCTGTAATTAGAACAAAAGCTGGCAGTGAACCAAATCCAGGTCAGTATTATTAAGCGGTTCCACACACTGAGCCTTAAGACTTATAAGTGCGCTTTGAGGCCGCTGAAGGAAATCATATATGACCAAAGAGGAAAAAAAGAGAATCGTACAGCTTTGATGTTGACTCAGTCAGAATCCAGATCTCTCTCTCTGCTCCCTCTCTCTTCCCTGCTCCATCTTCTTGTCCACAATCATTCTCCTAACCTCTGAAGAAAGAAATAGCACTCCACATTTATTTATACATCGCTCTACATTATTAATTCTCAAAACAATCCCTATGTATTCTTTCACTGCCTCTATCCGCTCCTCCCCTAAATTGTCCCATATTTTCTTTGTACATCCAACTATCTTGTCTGGGTTACTTCATCTCACCATCCCATCTGTATGTCTCATAGCGGTGTTACAGGTTCCAGCAAACAGAAGATATGGGCTGCATTGGCAAACACAAACTTAAAGGGATAGTTCACCCAAAAATGAAAATTCTGTCATTAATTACTCACCCTCATGTCATTCCAAACCTGTAAGACCTTCGTTCATCTTCGGAACACGAATTAAGATATTTTTGATGAAATCTGAGAGCTCTCTGACCCTCCCATAGACAGCAAGGGAACTACCACGATCAAGGCACAGGAATGTAGCAAGGACATCGGTAAAATAGCCCATGTGACATCAATGGTTCAACCATAATTTTACGAAGCTACAAGAATACTTTTTGTGTGCAAAGAAAACAAAAATAACAACTTTATTCAACAATTCTTCTCCTCCTCATCCCATATACTTGGATGGGTTAAATGCACAAATTCCAAGTATGGGTCACCATACTTGGCCACATGTCACTTCACTTTCACTTTTTCTTGTTGAACCACTAATGTCACATGGATTATTCTAATGATGTCCTTACTACCTTTCTGGCCCTTGAACATGTCAGCTGCATTGCTGTCTATGCAGGATCAGAAAGCTCTCTGATTTCATCAAAAATATCTAAATTTGTGTTCCAAACATGAACAAAGGTCTTATGGGTTTGGAACGACATCAAGGTAATACTTTTTGTGTGCAAAGAAAACAAAAATAACAACTTTATTCAACAATTCTTCTCCTCCTCATCCCATATACTTGGATGGGTTAAATGCACAAATTCCAAGTATGGGTCACCATACTTGGCCACATGTCACTTCACTTTCACTTTTTCTTGTTGAACCACTAATGTCACATGGATTATTCTAATGATGTCCTTACTACCTTTCTGGCCCTTGAACATGTCAGCTGCATTGCTGTCTATGCAGGATCAGAAAGCTCTCTGATTTCATCAAAAATATCTAAATTTGTGTTCCAAACATGAACAAAGGTCTTATGGGTTTGGAACGACATCAAGGTTTGCAATTAATGACAGAATTTTCATTTTTGGGTGAACTATCACTTTAAGGACTCTAGAATGAACAAGAAGACATTGTATGACGCCATAAAGTGAGAGGTCTTACATAAAATGATGAAAACTTGTTTAGAAAACTTGGATGAGAATCCATGCTGGGAAAATGTGCTTGTCTCCAGCAAAACATTTTGTGTTGGCCAGCATGCAGAATTGTCATGTCGTAGCATGACTATTGTGCACTACCTCTACTTACATAGACTGCAATGAATTCTGTTTTTGTTTGTTGTTTTGGCCACAGTAACATGTCTGTGCCAAACAGTATCTGTCTGTGTTCATCAGTGCCAATTCAAGTGTATAAATGTGTATTTAGACATTTGAACCGCACTTTACACAGAGAAGGTTGGTAAGTGCTTTTTCACATTAACATGCATAGTTTATGTATTGTGGATATACTATTGAAACAGTGAGTATTTTGATATTTACGAATTGGCCCCGTCTCATTGTAACCTGATTTTTTTTAAAGAAAAGGATGGACAAGTGCAAATTATTTTTGTGGTAATCAACATTATGCCACAAGTACTGTCAATTGAGTTTAACTTTACTGAATCCAGAATATTCCTTTAAACTTATTTTTATTTTAAATAAATATATTTCACAAAATGTTTCTTCAGTTTTAAATGATAAACCCACAGATATATTGTTCAAAATAAAAACATATTGTGACCTTTTGTGGTTTAGTGGACATTATATAGTTAATTTGATGAACTACACCTATGAGGAGAACTGACTTCATACATTCATACTTCAGAACAGTTCATTAAAAGTCACTGACCAATATAAAAAAAGTTAGTTCTGAGAAAGGCTCCAGCAACCAGGTGTTTACAGATTCAATCGAATATGCTGTATCTAATGCAGTGAGAGTTAGACATTTTAAGTCTGTCTTCTTTATCCAAATACTATCTGGGACCACTGTATGTAGTTTACGTTTTGTAACACTATAGTGTGTGCTGTTAAGGGGGGTTATTTGAATCTCTGCTGTCACTGATGGAGTGATACAGGGTTGAGAGGTTTGCCTGATCCACAGGTGTGCACATTCTATCTATTCAACATCAGTTTACTTTACCAAGGACA